TTTGTTTAAGATTGAACGAAAAAAGTGAATCTATCGTAAAGGTTTACTTTTCCAGAAGTATATTACTTTTGACCTCTACAAAACTTATGCACTTTTAGGGGAAAAAAATAACAAAACAATAACAGACCCTAAATAAACTATTTAAGATCATCAGATGACAACATGAAATCAACATATTCATCCAGACCCTAAAATATTCACTAGAATTTATGTATAGAGGACCTTTATAAAAAATATAGTAGAAATTCATAAAGGAAATAGATTGATAACAAAAACAATTCTATTTGAATTATGAGCAGCAATATACTAAGTCAACTTTTTTCCTGTAGAGATAAGTTGTTATGGGTCATGAATATATACTATGTCATTTTTTCTAATAGCTAAATAAGAAATTAGAACCAATTAGGAATAAACATACAGTGAGTGTAAGAATGTAATTTACAGAGAAAGAATGAGAGGTCAAAAGAAATCTCATAAAAGAGTGAACCTAGAAACAACAGCATCAGTGGAACTGGAAAATACCTTCCTCCTTTCGGATGTCAACTGTGGGATGCTCAATCTAATTAATTCTCCATCATTATTTGGAGTCATACCAAGATCAGGGCTAACTATTGCTTTCTCAAGGATCTTAAAAAGCAATAACCAAGGCAAAAGGGTATATATATTATATCATTTAAACATGGCTCTTTGATTTGATCCTTTTTTCTTTTTCCTCTGTACAGAATGTACATTAATAAAATAAAATATATATATATCTAGGGATAGTCTTTTTCCTATTGGAAAGAAACAAAAAAAATAAAATCAGACCACACCTTATACTTCTCATATACGTTGTATGTGCAGACAAGAATCAAACAAGCATGGACTAATAAAAAATGATTGTATTGATCTCAGTATATACGTATTCATAATCAGATATACCCCTATGGCAGCACAGCAGGCGGCAACTGTAGCAATCACATTTAAAGTTATACATATACATTAACTACAAGATTCAGGATGGAGATTAAGGGAAGGAGAATGATAATCCATATTCACTGGTTAAGGAATTAAAAGCACAAAAGGTTTTATGATCAATTGTAGTATTGGATTCTACTAATGCACTCCCATTCAGGACACTCATTAGCATGATCCTCAATTTCCAGTATAAACTTTTACAAAATTAGATTGGCAATGATCCTACCAAGAAAATATATAATCACAAACTAAGAGAGTGCCAAAAGGAAAGAAGAACAAGAATAACAAAAGAGGGATCGAGAAAACACAAAAGAAAAAAAAGTTAAATTACCTCAGGTGAAAGGTCATATCCAATGGCGTTAGTTCCCACGCCGATAAGAGCAACAGAGGATGATTCCTTAGAGGTGCCTATCAAACAAAATTGTGTCCTAAGAAATGTCAGCAAAATCACAAGGAGAGAATAAAAAAAAGTTGCGATGTGAAGAGAGAAAACTAACAAGAAGTGAAGGGTTATAGTTCCAGAGAGCGAGTTTCCAATCGGAATTTGAGAGGGAGACATAGTGGAGTTCGTCGGCTGTGCAAACGGAGGGCTTATCGGTGACGGTCGTGGAGAAAGCCCTGAGATGGAAGGGAGCGGTGGCGTGTGGGAGGGAACTGTAGGTGGAAAACCCTAGGACTGTTCAACGAAGGATGAGACTTAGAAAATGGATGAAAACTTGAAGTGTTGAAAAGAATACCTGTTTATACTTCTTCTTGCGCTTTCCGTCGGCGATTTTGGCGATGAACTCGGTGGAGAAGATGTTGGTGAGCTTTGCACGGTAGACGGAACGTAGGATGTAGAGGCTGCCATGGAGGGATCTCTCTGTCAACGGTATTGACGAGGATCTCGTCGGAGATTTTGTATAGGCCAGGAACGTAGGAGAAGAGGCGTGGCAGATCTGCGATGGTCATCCCTACTGCGGCGAGAGCGAGAGAGAAGGATGAAGCGCGAAACGAAAATAAGACGTAATTAAAACCTTCCAATATTACATTTTTGTCATTAACTTTAATTTTATACCGGCTTTAGGTTTAATAGGTATACAAAAAATGATTTTTATACCTTCATTTTATTATAACCGGCGTATAAATATTTATAATTCATTTCATGTCATTTTTATATCTTATTTTAATATAATCGGTATAAAAAAGGTTTATTTATGTACTATATTTCCGTCGTATCACTTTTATACCCAATGAATTTATAATGAATTTTAATAGGTATAAAAAATTATTATAAAAAATATGTTTTGTATTGGTGAATTTTTCTTTTTTTTCAAACAATATATAGTAGGTTTTATTTAGACCAATAACTCACTTTTATTCTGCTAGAATTTCATAGAGAACTGAATTTTAAATATGCTATTGGACTAGTATGTTTTTACTTTTTTTTTATATAGAATATGTTCAAAATTTCAATTTCTTTTCAAAAATAAATTCTGACTAACACAATAAAAATATACTACTTGCATAAATAAAACTTACAATGTAGTGTTTAAAAAAAAATGGAACATTATACTATTTATGTATTGTGTGCGTAATCTACTCCCCAATTTTATCATATCTCCCCGAAAGGACTATGTATTGTATTGTGTAAAAATTTCTTATTCTTAAATCTTTGATAAGAAGAAATATATTATACAATAATAAAATAGAATTATTAATAATAACAAAATAATATTATTAGTAACAAAACAATAATTATAATTTCAATAATTGATTTTTTTATTAACCGTGTTAAAAAGTATATCAAATATTGAAAACACAAAAATAAAGATGTAATTCGCTAAAAAATATCTTCTCTTTTTTGTTTTTAATAATCAAACCTTCATTTTATACTTTTCATTTTTTTAATTTCTTTTCTATCTTATGTCTATTTAATCATATAATTTTATTTTTTTTATTATTGTTTTCCTATTTTTATAATTTTCTTAACTTATTTTTATCAACTAACATGACAAAAGAAACAAGATTTACTCATTGAAGATATTCGTCAATAACTACTAACATTTGTTGATAATGTTAATTTTTAGATGAATTATCAACGGACTTAAATTCGTCAGTATCGTTCTTGTTGGAAACAATTATTGATAGATATAAGTTATTAGTAATTATTGACAAATAAAGGTCTCGATAATCAATTGATAAATGGGTTAACAAGAACAAGTGCAATTGGTAGCATTTTTTATCCACCACAATGAACCTGGACATAATTACATGCAATGACAATCAAATTCAAACAATGCAGACAACCAAAACAATTTAGACAATGCAATGACAATCAAATTCGTATCATTAAAAACATATTTATAGTGTCATTAATACAAACATAGAAGTCTTAAAGTAAATGAAAATAAAGTAAAAAACTCTTAATATTAGCATAGTCATAAGAGTTATTTTCTTTTCTTTTTAATGCTGTTGTTGTTGAGGAGGTGGTTGGATTGGGTGGACTGCATTGGAGAGTGTCATTGTTGGGATGATCTTATTGACAGGGAGATTAAATAATAAGCAAAGAAGAAACAATGAGGGAGAGAAACAAACAGAACCGAAGAAAAAACAAAGAGTAAACTAGAACAATGACAAAAAGAGAAAGAATGTGAAGCACGAGAACGAGAATGATAATGGAGAAGAATAAAAAAACAGAAAAAATGAAGCATAAAATTAAATAATGTATACTGCTTATAATGTCTAACCGGTGTAGAAAAAGTTCTTCAATATTATATTTTAATTATTGTGCTACTTATATCGATTTTAAGTTTAACTTATAGAAAAATGATTTTCTATACTTTTATACATATATATATATATATATATATATATATATATATATATATATATATATTCACCAACTTCCCTTAAATCAAATATTTAATTTTATTTTCTTATAATTTTTGTAGCATTTCAAAAGTTATTTCTTAGTCTCAATTTGATATAGATTTTAGAATTAATTTAAAAACATTTTAATAAATATGTAGTAAAAATATAATTTTTAATAAAAATATCAACATGAGATTTATAAAATAATAAATTTTAGCTCAATATAAAGAGAGATAATATTATTTCATCTTTACAAAAATTAAGACTAAATTAAAATTTTGTCTATCACATTGTTATTAGATGACTAAATTAACACGTATTTTAATACTTGCTTGGGTCAAGTGTAAATATTATATTATCCGTATCTGTTTTCTGTAAAAAATAAAAAATTAATTTATATTTTATTAAGTTAAGTTTAATTAAAATTAAAATTAATTTATATTTTATCAAGTCAAATTTAATTAAAATAAAATTTTAATTTAATTTATTTTATATTTTATATATGTTTTTATAATTGAAATTAAATTTTATTTTATAAATTTATAAAATATACATTTTTAAAAATATTCACAGGTGTTTTTTAAACAGTTATCCATGCAAATAATAGATCAGATTTTTTTTTTGTTGTAGATCGAATAAGAAGTACATTGTCCCTAACCTGATTATCCCTTGACCTTGTGTAAAAATAAAAATAAAATAACACATGGCAATAATAATGTTGGTATAGTATTAAAGAAAATGACCTTTTAAAATAGTTATAACCAAATTGAGAAAAAAAGAAACTAAAAAAACAACTTGACACTTTTCTACAAAAGTAAGAACCAAATGAATAATTAAGCCTATACCTTTTTTTTCTGGCAACAAACAAACAGATACAAGAATCACTTATCATCAACAAATTCGATTCTAAAATAAACTCAGATAATAATTTCATTAGAAATTCGTTACTAGCAAGAGTTAATTAAATTCTTCTGTGAAACAGCTATGATATTGACTACATATGGCCATGTCCAATTTACAAATTCAAACGAATCAGACACTGAATTTACAAATTTCGATTTGTGACCGAGGGAAGCCATTCCTCAAACTCAAACAAATTAAAAAGAAAAAGAAAAAAAGATAGCGAATGCAGCGAATGCAACACTCATCTTGTTGCTCCCGAGCTCAAGGCAGGAGTGGTATGTGTAGCAGGGCAGAAGTTCACCTCACCAAATCTTCATTGTAAATACAACTCCAGAACTAAGTAACATACTCTTTAAATTCCTTTTCTTGATCAACCTATAACTTTCTTAACACTCAAAATAATATATCGGTTCTGAAAAACGTCAATATTTTCTGTAAGCATGAAATGTATTGCGTTGTTTATTCCAACGCCAGTGATCATGAGAAAAAGCCAGGCTGAACGGGCATGGATGCTTCACATTGAGCTACAACTGCCTCCTCTGCTATAATCCATCCCATATTGGACTTTGCTTGTTCAATCTCTACAGAACAGCTCTAACAAAAGCAAAGATTAGAACATAAGAGGCCCAATAAGACATGTTCACAAGATCCACATCATTAACTAAAGGATTTAACCCCTACATCCTTGCATGAAATAAAGAACAAATCTCTAAGACATAAAACCCAAGTTCTCTGCAGCTGTACACATTGTTGTTAATTGGCAGCACCATGGCTGCCATGGCAGATTCTTTGCTAAGTACTACAAGCAACTTTTTAAGAAGGGTCTGCTATAGCAATGCCATAGACCATAATGGTGTCTTTAGATGAAGGAATTTCGGCCTTATGCCATAGATAACACTTGATGCATAAATTTCAAATTGTTGAAGGGCTCACATCAACTAGAGTTAAGCTTAAATTATAGTATATAAATAGTTACAAACCTCATCTTACAAACCAATTTTGTAAAATTGAATTAAGTTTAAACTTCATTACTTTAACATGGTACCAAAGTCATTAAAAAGACTACCCTAGCAAGATTAGTTGGGACCATTGTGTCACCGCTATCAGACTCCTATTGGATTGTGTCACCGCTATCAGTCTCCTATTGGATTGTCACCGCTATCAGACTCCTATTCGACCACCCATAAATATTTAATCTCACGCTTGAGATATTCATTTCTCAATCCTATTGGATTGTGTCACCACTATTACACTCCTATTCGACCACCTATAAATATTTAATCTCACGCTTGAGATATTCATTTCTCAGTCAAAATCATAATACATAAGTAGAGTGCAAAAATTACAAGATAGTGAAATTAAGATTGCCATATAAATTCACTTACTATCATGATATCAGAGCCTATCTTAATCAAGTTTGTTGGGTCTTGTGTTATCGGGCATGAGAGAGTGTGTTGAAAAGCTTATCTCGACTAAAGATAAAACCTAATTATAATATATATGCAGATGCAGTCCTCACATTAAAAACAAATTTTGTAAGGTTAAGTTAGTCTTAAATTTCACTACTTTACCACAAACAAAAACAATGATAACTTATACACCCATTGAATCTGCATTTTTTAATCTGTGAGCATTTTTGACAGAACTTTCCTGGTTGACACTAAAGACAACTGTTATTTAACGGGTTTATGACCAGAGAGCTTTTCTTAAATCCTGAATCTTATAAATTGGTAAAGAATTGATATCTAGACCAGTTGGCAAGGGAAGAATACAAACCTCTGAACAAGTATATACAATAAGGGTCATCCAATCCCACTTTTCCACCAAATGTCTTCGTTCACCAAGAGCTTCCTGTAGAAAGTATAGTAATGGAGGCATCAGCTGCATCTCAAATTGCCTTGGTCTGCCACATAGTCTGCAATTGCCAGGGTTTATTTCATCGACTGCAGCTAAAATTGGCCTCCCACCATACGAATATCTACACAAAGTAATGTTATTAGGCCCCCAAAAAACAGGAGGGGAGAGAAAGATAGGAAGGGGAGGGAGTAGAGCAGAGAAAATCAAAGATTTGATGCTATGCAAAATATATATAATAGTATGATAGCTCAAACGCACAACCAATCAATGTATTTAGCAACCTTAGTTGCTATGCTTCCCCCTTATATTAAAGGGAGACGAAAAAATGGATGGAAAACCCAAACTTCCTTGACTCAGTTGGTTTATACACTTACTATTGCCTGTTCATAAAACCAAGATCATGTGCAACTGTGGCAACTACCTACCATTACAATGACTGGGAGAAATTATATATCTGTGGTAAATAATTCTATAACCAATAACATGCCTCATCAGAATCACACACTCTAATAAAAACACTATCCTAATTTATCACCCGGGTGGGATTCTAATCCATGAGTAACTCAAACTTAAACAAGGACTGAGATCCAAATATGCAACATGTCGGGGGGACGATAGTCTACTCCAAATTGTCATTTGTTCATACCTAAAACATTGTTCAGGATATGCATCCAATCGTTTCTTGAACTTGAGGTAAGTTCTATCAGCAGTCAAAGCTTTATCATACTCATAATGCTCCTTTTCCCAGGCTTCTTCCGGTTGTGAAGGATCCTCAACATCACTTCCAGCCTCCTTAAGAGAAAGCGACGAGTAGCTAGAACATATAGCACTAAGATCCAGAGAGGAAGACTCTTCCTGTGCGTATATATAAAAACAGGGCACCACTGAAAACAACCACCCAACAAACAAACCAATTACATAAAAAAAAAAAAAAACTAGAGTTGCGTTAATTAGCATCTACCAATTACACAAACAATCACCAGGCACGTCATTTTGAACCAAAGCTGTCGGTTTTGGATGTAGAGAAGATGAAGGGGCCTTGTTCTGTCGTTTTTTCCGCGGCTTCTTGCGCTTGGTATTGGAAGCCGCAGTCCCGGCTTCAAAGAGAGCCTTACCCAGTTGTTCAAAATCCATGTCACCTACGTCTTCGTCATCCGACACGTTGGCACACGGAACTTCACCATCGGACGCAGGTTGTTTTCGTTGAGAGGAGTCCAAGTCAGCAATGTTCTGAACTCGAAGAACGCGGCAAACGGTTCCACATTCGGGCGAGATGCAACCGAGAACGAAGAGGGTGCGGTGTTGAGAAAGGGGAGCGTAAACCTGCGCCACCAGGCAGAGTTGGCCGGCGCACAAGGCGCACCGTAGCAAATCGGCGTTTATGGGGAGGGGCCAGTCCTGTCAAAGATGCTAAAATTACTTGAACGAAAAGATGAGGATCTTAAAACGAAATTGACAGAATTGAAACACTAACAAGAATTTAGCATTGAAAAATTGTGAGTAGTTGAAGAGAAAAGAAGAGAAGAAAAGGGTTAGTGGTGTGTACAGGGAGTCCTCCAATTTTAGTTGTATAGGGATCAGATGGTTCGCGATAATCCTCCGCCCATGGACCTGGCATCCCTAGCAAAGTTCCTGCCATCGTAATCTTCTTCTTCTTCTTCCAATGTTGTTTTCTTTTTCCTCACAAGAACGAGGGATTTTTCAGAGCTTCAGTAGGGTTTATTTAGTCCAACCATATGGGTTTACAAGCTTAGAATATATTATTTTATTTAATTACTAATTTTGTCATTTTTTTCTAATAGGATTTACTTATTATTTTTTAAAAGCTTAATTCAGTTTTTATGTTTTTTAAAAAGAATAAAGCATTTAAAAATTGCCATAAAGTGCACTTTCTTTCTAAATGTTTCCTGATTTTAGCTGTCAAAAGGTTAAAAGATAAAGAACTTTTTAATTCTTAAAAATTATTGTAACTACTAAAAGTTATCACCAATATTTTAAAAAGAATTGCTATTTTATGTTTTATCATTGATATTTTAAAAAGGATAATTTCGAAATTTATAATTTAGTCTATTTTTATTTTGTACAAAACCTTTTCTGCCTTTATTAATCGTTTAAGAGGTTCTTATAATTCTTTAATTCGGAAATTGAAATCAATGCAATATTTATTTTTTTTATTCTTTAAATTTATGTTAAAAGCTCTAATCTTATTTTATAAAGCAATTTTACATAATTTCTACTAATTTAAGACAGAAAATACTAAATGTACTAACATCAAAGTTATAAAAGATATGGGGAAAATGTGAAAGACCCATAAAATATATTTTTTACACACAATTATCAATTTAGTTATTCATACATTTAAATTGTAACATCCAATTATAGCATTATAAATATCATTAATAAGCAATTACATAATTTCATCAAAAGATATTAAATATAGTATATATTTGGCCGTTGATCTATAAAGATAACAATTATCTTTCAAAAGAAAATGAAAGAAGTAAGATCATGCATCACGGCTATATTTATATTTCTTTAAAATATTTTAAGTAGGTCTTTCAATTTTTAGTATCAATTTTTGAAAAAACATATGTGTAATTAAGTCATTTTCATTATTACTGTACAAATTACTTTATGTGTTAGTTTCTTTTATTTTTTTTCTTTTAATTTAAAAACAATAATTATCTACATACGAGGTTAATGTTATGTCATGTCGCATTGTTAGTTTATGTCATGTCGCATTGTTAGTGTAACATTTGACGGTAACAATGTTAGTATCTTGTTTTTAATTTAGTCTATATATTTGTTCTTTTGATTTAATTCAATCTCAAATTTCTTTTAAAAAATGAAACAATTTTATTCATTTCTAAATCGAGATCAAATTTAATTTTTATATAAATATCATATTGATATTTTTATTACATTTTTTTTTGAAATATTTTTAATCTAACTCTAAATAAATTATTAGATTTTATTTAAATAAATTACTTTTAAACAAGTATTTATTAAGGTTAAATTAGTTGTTGGTTCCCGTGGTTAAAATAGTTCCAATACATAAAAAATATTAAATTTAGTAATATAGACAAAAGTTGTAGACATATTAAAATTTAGATATATAATTATTAATTAAACAAGTTTAGATATAGAAAAATATATTTAAATTAATAAAAAGGCTTAATATCAATTTTGGTCCTTATTTTCATCGATTTTGTTCAATGTGAGACTTGTTTTTTTCGAGTGTTCAATGTGATTCCAATTTTCATAATTTATATTCAATTTGGTCCTTTTTCATAACATCGTCTATATTGTTAACGACAAATGAACTGTGTGTGTCACGTGTCAATTCATGACTTTTTTTACTTTTTAAAAAAAAATTATTTTTTTAGATTTTTTCTCAATTTTAAAAAAAGTTGTTTACGTGTCAAGTCAATATTCAGTATTAGCATCACTGAAACCACAAGAAAATACTATAAGAGAGTTTGAATAATGTTTTGAAATTCTTTTCATAATGTAGCATCTAACGAGTATAATGAAGTAAGTTATCAAGAGGCCATTGTTGTTTAGCAAAGCTTGTGGAAGAATATAATCTATAGAACAATGTAGTGAACATTATTAAGAAATATGTTTATTAATTTAGCGTCTAAAAAGTTATTTATGAAGGCCTTTTTGAAAAGTTGTGCAAACACTAAGTTTTGTAAGAAGCTTTTTAAGAAAGGATTTGTAAAGTAAAACAATGAACAAGAAGTATTTTTATACTGGTTCATTCTAACTAAGCTACGTCCAGTTCTCCCTTAAGAACTCTCGAGAGGTTCCACTAATCTTATCGAAGATTACACATGTATTCTCACCACTTTTGGTTTACAATGAGTATTCTCACCACTCCTGGTATCCTAGACAATTCTAGTATCTCCTTGATACATTGCCTAGTCAAGTTTCACCACTTTTGGTTTGCAAGTATTCTGACCACTCCTAGTTTGCAAGTACTTGAACCACTTCTGGTTTACAAGTATTCTAACCACTTCTACAAATCCACAACGGGATATACAACAAGATATAGATGGATAACTCTCTACGAGATAATATGTTTTAGTTACAATATAATTTGTAAATCTTGAAGGTGTTTCACTCTCTTTTCACTTGAAAGCTTTAGTCGATTTATGAATTATGAACATAGAGATCACAACAAGGAGATATATTCACTTCGTTATCTTTCTTGTCTTTTCTTCATACGTCTGTCTATTTATAGCTTTCTTGAAAATCTGCCCATTGAGTGTTAAGTTGACTCCTGGTAGCTGACACTTGAAGTTGACACTAACATGTGATTGTTAATGTGTCAGCGTCAGTGCCACGTGTTAATGTCTTGTATTCAATTTAATCCCAATTTTTGTTATTTTTGTTTAATTTAGACATATTTTTTTTATTAATTTTGTTCAATTCATTTCCAATTTTGTCAATCTCTAAATTGAGATTAAATTAAATTTTTATTAAAATTCACTTTTTTATTAAATATTTTCATTATTTTTAAACCAACTCCAACTATGTTATTTGAATATAATTATTATTTTATGTTTGATTTTTTCTACATATAAAAAATAAGGTTAAAGTTGATTTAAAAATAATGAAGAATTTTTATTTTATTTTTATAAATAATAAAGAATTTTCATTCTAATTTTAAAAATAAAATAGAATTTTCCTTTTAATTTCATAAATAAATTAGAATTTTTCCTTCAAATTTTGAAAATAACGAATAATTTTTCTTATAATTTTTAAAATAATGAAGAATTTTTCTTCTAATTTTAAAAATAATGAAGAATTTTCATTCTAATTCTAAAAATAATGAATAATTTTATATTGGGACAAGATCGTCTTGGAAGGTTAGACTGTCCAACAATTCAAGTTTTGAGGTTTAACAAACAACACTCAACGAAATATTGATCACAAGATATAATGGTTAATGGTGACATGCACTAAAGGATGATACTGGATAAGATATGTGTCTATCAGATATAACATTATATCCAGTAAGATAAACGTTTATAAAGAATACAATGTTTGTGGCAAAAACTCTATCTAAATGAAAGCAACATTTGATACAATAGAAACATAATCTATTTGAATGTTGAGATAAACGCTAATACTTAAAAACTCAGCATACAAATGTGGAAAGCCATCAAGCGTCTAACAAAATGTGTTATCTAGGATATCAGAATAATGCGCTAAAGGCTCTCAAGAGATACATAATAATATAATATCTCTAACATTCCTAAGTCTTAAGACATAAAGAGCGTCAAACACTATAGAAATCTTAACAGAGTGTCTAATCATCATTACGCTTAAATAAAATGGTAAGGCATCTGAACATCAAGTTATGATGCTAAGCATTGCTAGAGGATGTATTTGTGTCTAGACGAAGTTACGAAAAAAAAGGCTTCAAAGTTCATATCATAATGTACCAAAGTACCCCTTGCCTTTGAACATTGTTTTTATCAAAACGTGTTGACATGTGACAAAATGTATTGAACACGTAATGTGCTTAATGATTATACACGTTAAAACATTTAATGTTGTATGAAAAATTATCTCTCTGCTTGCATGCTTTGTTCTTGTTATTTGTGCAGGTAATGTCAATACAAAAGCTTTATTTAGAAGCACTGCATAAAGAATAGAAAGACATTGAGAGATAAGAATACATTCTTAGGATGTTTTCTCAAGCTTTGCACTAAAAGGGTCATACAAGCACATTTGAATAAAAGCACTTATAAAGCATTGTCATGTTGTAATGTAGACGATGAGTGCATATTTAAGCCCACATTTATGTTTTAAAATTCAAATTTTTGAAGAGATTCTTCTACTTAAATGATTGATTTAAAGTGAATTTGTGACGATTGACATAAGATTCAAATATTGAAAAGCAATTTTGTATTCGTTGGGAGACGACTCAGGGTTACTTTAACCCTATCTACTTCCTTGACTACTGACTTGGCAATACTGAAGTTGCCTTGAAAAGTAGTATTAATTTGATAGGTTCAAGGGCATCGTATCAGTAGACTTGAGTCTGACTACATAAAAAGACTATGAAGTTTATCCATAAGTCAACTGTGTGTCCAACAATCACTTCTCAAGAAGGCTATAGAAAGAAGATCCAATGAAGAGAAGAGGTTGTTGAAGTTGAAGAGGGTGAAAACAGAAGAGAGAAAAAGGAGAGAAAGAGAAAGAGAGAAAAAAAAGAGAATATGCTCAAGAAAGATCATTAAACATCATCTTTACTCTACCTCAAAGCGTGTATTGTCTTATGCTCTTCAACCTAAGAGGAAGAATCTCATATGTTCAAAGATTGTATTGTATTGTATTTATCCTCTCTGTGAGAGTCATCCAAATCTATAATTGTAAACAAGCACTGAATGTGTTTGCATTATTTCATTATATTAAGAAAAAAGCTCTAATAAGGATTGACTAGCTTACTAGGACTGGTTGACAATACTCGGTTGTAAACTAAGAGTGTTTATAATACTCAACTACCAGGAGTGGGTAAACTTAGACTAGTCAGGTTGACTATGGAAACTAGGAGTGGTTTAGAATACTCAACTAATTAGGTTGACTAGGGGAACTAGGAGTAGTTTAGAAAACTCAATTAGTTAGATTGACTAGGAGAACTAAGAGTGTTTTAAAGTACTCACACAACTACAAAAAATAGCTTTGATGTCTGTTATTTTCGACCTTTAACTCTGCC